CCTGCTATGTGTTTCCACTCCACGGTTCTTAGTGTCTTGACTTTTGATCTCAAACTTTCCTTATGTTTGCAAGACGGTTGCTGCTACTCCTAACATCTGCTTTCAGAGAAGGAAGATGGGGAAAGAGCTATGGGTGAAAGACTAGGAGCGTGTTTGTCCCTTTTTATCAGGAAAGCTGTCCTTTTCCCAGGAGTCTACTCGGCAGGCTTCTGTTTATGTTAGAAGTCAGAACTGGGTCATCTGGCCACCCCTTGTTGCAAAGGCATCTGGTTGATACCCGCCTTCCTTGTCTCTGAGGTTGAGGCTGGCTGTGAAGGCGATGGGGGTGCTCAGAGGACAGCCAGCCTGCAGCGTCTGTGAGAGGTTCCCTTCCCAGAAGAAAGGCTTTGATAGGCTTGGTCCGTCACCTCCCAGTGTGCAGTGCCCCAGACAGAGCTGTCACGTGGGCCCCCTTATGGGTCACTGACTGGCCTACCTGTGGCTGCTTTGGGGCTGGTGTTAACCTCGGGTCTCACCAGCTGTGGCATGGGAGTCGTGGGGACAGGTAGCAGGCACCACGGTTAGAGGCCATTCCCTGTGTCTTCGATGCCACTCCAGTTCGTCTGAAGAGGTTTTCACAGTCACTGAGCAGGAGGAGGAAGAAAAGACTTCGGGAATCTTGAGGATAAATGTTTTTTTTAAGAGGCAAAAAGCACAGGTCATAAAGAAAAAGATTAAGGAATTTCAACAGCAAAAACTTATGTGCATCAGAACACCGCATACAAAAGTGCAAAAAGTCAACTGGAAGAGGGTATTTGCAAAGCATTAGCTGAAAAAGGATTCGTATCCAGAATACTAATCCTAATGATGTAATATACATATAAATTCTAAAATGTCAAGCCACTCACTAGAAAAGTGGCTGTTCACAGAGAAGGAAAGCTAAGTGGCCAATAAACTGAAATTATGCACATTTCCTCTGTCAGGGAAACGCAGGTTAAAACCCCACAAGTGATCAGACGCCTGTTAGACTGACAAATGTTAGAAAGCTGCCAGAGAACCTAGAGCAGTAAGAGGAAGAGAGAGCACTGTGGGTGGGGGTGCACATTGGGGCTCTTCTGGCAAGATATTTGGGAAATGGAGTGTCAGAGCACAAGCCAGAGCCCTACACGCGCTTGGGTGCTCTGAGAGGCTGTGAGTCCATGTATTCTTCTAAATTCTTCTATCTGGCCCTGGCTGGTTTGGCTCAGTGGATAGAGCGTCAGCCTGCTGACTGAAGGGTCCCAGGTTTGATTTCAGTCAAGGGCACATGCCCAGGTTGCGGACTCGATCCCCAGTAGTGAGTGTGCAGGAGGCAGCCGATCAGTGATTCTCTCTCATCATTGATGTTTCTATCTCTCCCTCTCTCTTCCTCTCTGAAATCAATAAAAATATATTTTAAATAAGTAATAAATAAATAAATTATCCTATCTACATCAGGGCTGGTTCCTCCTCGAACCCTGCCCACTGTACTAACCGTTGGGAACTTAGTCCAAGTTCCTCAGGTCAGTTCTTGGTGGTGGGGCAGACGGAGACGCCACGAGAGGCTGTGGGTGTATAAGAATGAGTCTTCATTGCAGAAGCCAGTGGCCACGGGGCCATCAGACAAGAACAGTCCTCACAGCAAGGTCCGTACAGGCAGGCAGCCGGACACCGGCTGGTGAACACATACCTTTCCCCCAGAAGCAGCGTCAGTCTCTGTCCCCACAGTCATTATCTGAGCAGCCGCACGCTGCCTTCTAGACTCACCGCCTCCCTTCGTAGCGGTACTTGAGCTCTCCGGCTCAGCAGCTTCTCCTGTCTCTCCTGCCCCGCTGCTCTCTCTCTAACACACTTCTTCTCACACTTCATCTGCTCTCTCTCCATACTCCAGCGGACTAGCTGGTCAGTAACCTACTTTTATACCATTTAGACAAAGAAGGCTTTGTGCCAGTAGTTACATCAATCTTATTGACTACTGCAGGGCACAGTGTACCATGTGTCCTTGCACCCACTCATGGTATCTTGGCCTGATTAGGATTCCCAGGCTCCAAGTCCTTGGACTTTCCAATTAGGCTCATGCCCAAAGCGGCCGTAGGCCATTCTGGTGTATTGATAACAAGGCCTCTGTGCTCCCATTGGCTTTGACTGTCCGGGGACCTGGCGTGCTTCCCACATGGAGTAATGGTGAAATAGTCCGATTGTGACCCTGCATATATATCCCCAGCGAGCTGTGGTCTCTGAGAGGTCCTGCAGTTGTTTGTGGACCATAAGAGAGTGGTTATTACAGTGTGTTTTGTAATAGGAAAACATTGGGAAGACCCTAAAGAGCCATCAACATGAGAAAAGATAAGATCGGTGTAATCACACAGTGCAATGAATATTTCAGAGAGCTGCACGGAACAAAGTGCATGACTATGACAGTGGTGAACAGAAAAAAGCTAACTGCAGAAGACTGCATTATAATACACTTCTCTAAACCTAAAAACATGCAGAACAACACATTTTTTAAGGGATGCATATATACATAGTAAAGAAGAAAATGCATGGAAATAACAAACTGCTGGTCAGAATAGTGGTTCCCTGGGAGAGTGGGGGTGGAGGGAAGCAGGGTGTGTATGCATGGGGTCTAACTGATTTGCCACATTTTGTTTCTTAAGGGTAAGATGTACAGTTGTTATATTATTTGCATTTTCTTGTATGGATGAAATACTAAGTAGCCTATATAATAAAAGCCTAATATGCAAATCAACCGAACAAACGGTCGCTGTGACGCACACTGACCACCAGGGGGCAGATGCTCAGTGCAGAAACTGCTCCCTGGTGGTCAGTGTGCTCCCACAGGGGGAGCACCGTTGGAGCAAGGGGTTCAGCCAGAAGCTGGCTCACAGCTGGTGAGCGCAGCGGTGGTGGCGGGAGCCTCTCCCACCGAGGGGTCCTGGACTGCGAGCGGATGCAGGCCAGGCTAAGGGACCCTCCCACCCCCCTGGGGCATGAATTTTGTGCACTGGGCCTCTAGTATTGAATAGATGTTTAAAGGAGAAGACAGAAGAATAAAAGGACTTGGGGAGTAGAGAGTTTAGAAAGCAGGTCTGTGCCTGTCTCTGCTGTATCTATACCAGGCCAGGCACATAGCACATTTTTGACAGCAACATAGTCGGCTTTGTAAGTGATCCTTTGTAAGTGACATCTGTGCATCCTGCTCTGCACCAGAGAGCTCTTTCATCACTCTGCCCCCCAACCAGGGCTCCCCGTTCCACATGCCCAAAGGAATGTTTTGATTGGAATGATTTGTCTTGATGACATTTTGTTACAAACCCTACTGAGTGGATTTAGGTTATGAAAATAGCATGTTATGAGTAAATGTGCTGCAGAGGCCCAGACTCGCTGCTGTTGGTCAGACTACGCCTAGAGAGTAAAAGGGGCTGGGTGCTCTTTGATCTCCTTCGGATGACTTTGCACCCAGGCTGCTTCTGTGACTCCTGAAATCCCCTTCTTGCTTGTGGAGCCATTTATGTGATGGGTTTCAGTGGCCTTGACGTTTCATTCTTGCAGCCCCGGCTTGCAGGGGTCACGCTTCCAAGGCTCGGTTGCGGGTGGACAGTGCCCTCCTGAGCATTCTCCCCAGCTGGCTTGTCAGGCCTGGGTGTGGGCTGGACCGTTTGCTGCCCCACCCTCTCCTCTCTCATCTTCAGCCCTAGCATTTCCACTAACCAACCCTCCCCGCAAACCTCAGACAGGAGCCTGGACTCTGTAGTCAGAGAGAACATATTGGCTACGTACAGCTGTTTGGAGGTACACTGGCAGGTTAGAATTTTTGGAATGAATTTTTACATAGTTTAGTCCAGAAGCGTAGGTAGCCTGGGCCAGGTGGGAGGCTTCCTCTGAGTCTGTTAGGAGTCACCCCTGTTCCTCTTTGCAAAGAACCGGGGGCTCTGACAGGCTCCCTGTGGTGGAACATCCTAAAAGGTAAAGCAAAGGATTTTTACCATGGAAACACCATGGCCCAGGTCCGGGGCCTGCGGGGTGGGCATGGCGCTTTCACATCTACTTTCCCAGCAGGCTGACTGCAGGGAGGGGCGCTCCCTGGGTGCGGGCTGTTTTCTGGCTGCCGGGCCAGCAGAGTCAGCTGGTAAACCCAGTGTTCACGGTTTGTCTTGGCTGGTCAACTCGGAGAAACCAAAGTACTTCAGTAAGGCAGATGGTTGAACAGATCCCTTTGTTCTAACAACAAAACCTGGGTGTCCAGCACAGCACCTGCTCTGCAGACACAGTATGACTACCTGGTGGTGGGAGGTCACTAGCAAATCATTCCCAACCCCGTGTTTCTTCAGAGTCTCCTTCCAACACACTGCCTCTCCTTCCTGCCAGGTTGCCCCTGACCGCCATTCCTGTTTCTCCTTAAGCGAGATGTCTTTGACTTATTTTTGTTCATCTAGATTAAGGGAAATAGCTTTCAATTCTTGTGCCATCTCTGATCCATTACAAATGGCTGCTGGAGGTTCTGGGTCCATTGGGAATCAGGGGCAAATCTGAGCTCAGCAGGAAAGTGCTGATTGATTAGCAACAGGGTTAGGGCTTCAGCGTTCCTGTCTGAAATACTCATCAAAATGTTAAGAATTTAACAAATATCTTAATTCATCAAACTATGAATGGTGATTATCTGTAGATGGTTAGATTACAGGGCATTTAATGTTCTTTTGATAGTGTTCTGTGTTTTCTACATTTTTGACAGCGAACATGTATAACTTTAATAAGCGAGAAAAACACTCTTGGTGTTATTTTGAAAAGAAATGTCTTACCTGAGTGAAACCAGTGATTGGAACGTGCTGGGTAGTGCTTGGTTCTGCTGCTGGGCTGTGTGGCTGCAGCACACTGGCTGGGGCTCATTGCTCCCTGCCTTTTCCTTTCCTCTACTCCAAAAATCCTTCGACCCCGGGCATAGTTCTTGCTGAGAGGGGGGATGTGAGACTGGCTGATTGGCTTCTCGTCTTCCAATGTGGCAGGTCGAGGTGGTGCGTCTATCTATGGCAAGCAGTTTGAAGATGAACTTCATCCAGACTTGAAATTCACGGGTAAGTATGTCATCTGCTGGACTGGGTGAGAAGGGAGGGTGGATTTTGAAGGTTCGTTCTTTTGGCTGTGATTCAAGGTGAAAGCCTGACATGGTGGCATGGTGCCATGTAGCTGCCCGCCCGGCGCCACGGAGAGCCCTGGAGGATGAGAGAGAGTGGCGCCTCTCAGCATCCCGAGCGATTCAGAGTGCTGGTCTGAGTGTCTAGACTCTGCTTGCTGAATGTTGCTCTTACACTATAGCAACACAAAAGCTTCTGAAGAGAAGCAGGAGGCCTTGCTGGATTTTTAGGGGAGTGGCAACATGGCCCAGTGGTTAGTGAGGATCATCATTGGTAGAGGCTGGGGAGCAGGCGAAGGGGCTCGGGTGGTGCAGCTGATGGCCTCTGTGCAAGGGCAGAGAGCCTCCCCCGGGGAAGGGGGATTGATGAGAGAGGCCAGAGCAAAGTCTGGCTTCTTTTCATCCCTGCGATGGTATAAGTACAGTGATGGCGAACCTATGACACGGGTGTCAGAGGTGACACGCGAACTCATTTTTTTGGTTGATTTTTCTTTGTTAAGTGGCATTGAAATATATAAAATAAATATCAAAAATATAAGTCTTTGTTTTACTATGGTTGCAAATATCAAAAAATTTCTGTATGTGACACGGCACCAGAGTTAAGTTAGGGTTTTTCAAAATGCTGACACACCGAGCTCAAAAGGTTCGCCATCACTGGTATAGTAGCTCCAGGTTGGAGCCGTGGGGGTTTTTCATACTCTTCCCTCTCTTCCTTTTCCCACCAGGGGCTGGAATTCTTGCAATGGCCAATGCAGGGCCAGACACCAACGGCAGCCAGTTCTTTGTGACCCTAGCTCCCACCCAGTGGCTTGATGGCAAACACACCATATTTGGTCGCGTGTGCCAGGGTATAGGAATGGTGAATCGAGTAGGAATGGTGGAAACAAACTCCCAGGACCGCCCTGTGGACGATGTGAAGATCATCAAGGCATACCCTTCTGGGTAGCCTTGCTGCTCTCCAGGTCTTCTGAAATGGCCCAGCGAACCAGTGTCCGGGTGACCTAAATGACACACCTCTGAACTTCATTTTGGCCTTGTGAATCACGGAGCCAAGGAGGCCTGGGAGCTTGGGTGAGTTAGAGGTGGAAGTGTATTTTAATAGGATGCTTCTTGTCGCTTCTCCCTGAGCCTCGGTTGACAGGGCATTTCCAGAACTGCCCATGCCTGATCACACAGGCTACTGCTCTCTGCAGACGACCCACACTGCGTCTTGTGTGCATCTGTCTGATACCCTTGGAACAACATGAGGCCAGCTCTGCCATTTCAGGGTCCAACCAAACTTCTTTCTGCGAAGATTTATATTCTGGCCTACACTGCAGTCTTCGGTGGCTGACGGCCACAGAATTCAAACCAAGCAGTGCCTGTCAGCCCTCTGCACTCTGCACACCCTTTTCAGTCTCCTACATTTGTTCTTCCTGGGAATGTCTGCATCGCTATATATATTTCCCCCTCAAAGCAGAACATCAACACTGCTGTTCCTGACACTTAGACATCCCACGCAAAGCCACACTGGATGTTTGCCAAATGAGAAATGCATCCAACAATCAAGTGTCTAAGAAGGTGTCAAGTGGGGAATGCTAATGTGTAATAATCAAGAAATGAATTTACTAAAAGGAAGCAGAAGTGTTGACCATTTTTTGCCCAGGAAGGAGTAGAAATCTGTAGTGAGCCTAAGAAAAGACTGAATTCTTCTCATAAAGGAGAAGTGCCACTACCTTTTTTTAAAAAAACCTAAGACTTTAGAGAAACCGAGATTTTATATGTTAAGGGCCATTTTTTGTTTGTTTGTTTTTTAATCTTTCTGTATTTTTTAAGGGGATTATGAGAGAAAGGAGTTAATACCTGTGTGATACATAGAAATTTCCTAAATAAAATGTCATTGATGTTTGAAATTTTTGCTGTGGTTTGATTTTAAATATTGTATGAGGTTCTGTGAGCCATTTTAACCTCTGAACCATCTCAAGTTGTATTTTAGGGCTCATCTTCAAGATTTCACATCATTGTAGGTTTGTGATCTCCAGGGGACTTCTCCCGTTCAAGAGCAGGACTGACTTAAAAAGGCAGAACCGAAGAGAGAAGTTAGGTGATCTCGATGAGCAAGTCTGAGTGAGGGGGTTCCCTGGCGATTACCAGGTGGATGTGCTGAGACCTGAACTGTCCCTCAAACTAACAAGAGATACACCTGCCTGTCGGAGGGAGTGTGTGTTGTGGTGTTGACTCTCTTAAAGTGGTAGCTCCTTGATTGAAGAGGGGCTTGTAGCTTCAGTATGTTTCCTGCTCTTTGAATTTTGGAAATGGTGATTTACTCTCTGGAATGACCAAACAAGGTTCTAGTCCTCAAGTGTTCCCCATATTCGACCTTTCCCCGTCCTCCTCTCTCAACAAAAAAAGGACCCTAGCTGGTTTGGCTCAATGTATAGGCAGCAGTTCTCAACCTGTGGGTTGTGACTCCTTTGGTGGTCGAATGACCCTTTCACAGGGGTCGCCTAAGACCATCCTGCATATCAGATATTTACATTACGATTCATAACAGTAGCAACATTACAGTTATGAAGTAGCAACGAAAATAATTTTATGGTTGGGTCACAACATGAGGAACTGTATTTAAAAGGCCAGAAGATTGAGAACCACTGGTATAGAGCATCGGCCTATGGACTCAAGGATCCTGGGTTCGATTATGGTCAAGGGCACATGCCTGGGTTGCGGGCTCGGTCCCCAGCCCGAGAATGCTTGAAGTTGTGAGTAATCATCAATGATGATTCCCTCTCATCATTGATGTTTCTATCTCTCTCTCTTCCTCTCCCTTCCTCTCTGAAATCAATAAAAATATATTTTTTTAAAAAAGGAACACCCAATAACAAACTATGTAAATGACTTTGTAACTTCCCAGAGATGGTTTTGGGGGGCAAAGTACTGTTTTGGGAAGTTAAAAATACAGCCTGAACTGGGCAGACCTAATTGGGTCCACCTCTAGAGCAAGGAATGACACTCGTCCAGTACCTCCCAGAATTACAGTCCCGCAGCTACCACTTTCCACCAGGTCAGGGGGCTTTGAGAGGAGAGTGGGTTGTGAGCACACCTGGGAAGAGAGGGGCACAGGCACAGCTCCTGTTTCTGGGGTACGCCAAGCATGTGAGGTGATCACGCGTGAGTGTGAACCAGTCTTCATGAAGGAGGTGACCTCAAAGAGAAACTGGAATTGTTTCACAATTTCCGAGATTCTGCCAGTAGTCAGAGATGTAGAAATTTCTGTTTCTGCGTAAAGGGAGCTTGGTTAAGGGAATCCCGATGAATCCCTGTGTCCTGTGAGTGTCCACACCCTCCTAGGATAAGTGCAGTTAGGAGAAGTCTCATAAGAGTGGGTGTGCTGGGAGATAGCCCATTTCAGTGACATCTCAGATCGAGGCAAGGTGGCTTATGAGAAGGCAAGGATGAGTTTCTAACTTTGATGGAGATCAGTGAAGAGAGGTTGTGGGCCTGCCGGAGGTAATCGGGGATGGGAGAAATACAGCTTTGGTGGGAAGGATAGATGATTCTAGACTTGGGAGATCTAGAGAATGCTTGAAGTTGTGAGTAAACAAGCCAATGACAGAAGCCTTCAAACAAGTGTCTGTGGTTGGGTAAGAAGTTTGGCACCCAGACTGTAAAGGTATGGCCCCAAGGGCCCTGGCCCAGGGCTTCTCACACTGTCCCCCACACAAGAACCACTGGGGAGCCTGCGAGAAAGCAGGCCTGGCTTCAGCATCTACCCAGAGATTCTGCATTTCTAGCAGCTCCCGGGAGGTGGTGACTGCTGGTTCAGACACCACACTTTGAGTGGTGAGAGCCTAGGTCCAACATGAAATTGCGGGGGTGGTTCCTAAGAGCATGGGGCAATTGGGACCATAACCTGATCCTCCTCCTAGACCAGGGGTGGTCTTGGAAGAATGAAGAGCTTCAAAGCCAGGATGTGCTTGGTCTTGGAAGAATGAAGAGCTTCAAAGCCAGGATGTGCTTGTTTGGCTTTGCCTGCTACAGTGGAACTCTACGGAACAGTGGCCTGCCTTCGCTCCCACTGTGGTACCCCGTGGACGCCAGATCTGTGTGGGTGCCGCAGGGGGTGAGATGGCACGGTTAGTAGACATCACAGAAAATGCAGGGCAGGTATCAGCAATTACACCATCGGAGGACCCCTGCGGGGCTCAGATGCCACTGCTCCTTAGTTTCCTCACCCATAAAATGGGGATAATGGTACTAACCTCATAAATGAGCTAGAACAGGGACCAGCATTTAGGAAACAGCTCTTGTTATTACCAGTGGCCCTTGAAACCACCATGCACCTGACCCACCTCTTCATCCCAACATTAGCAGCCTGACCTTGCACACCGCTCCCTCCCTCTGGGCCCGCCTCTCAGAGCAGAGACCTGCCTCACTCCCCTCTGAGTCCCCTCAGCACTTCACACAATTCTTCAAAGTTACTGCTGAATGAATCGAATGAAAAATTGTTCTCTGGCAGGAAAAGATTGCAATCCACCTGCAGAAATAGCTTTACCCCGTCTCCAAACCCAGGCTTCAGCCCTCTGGAAGCCCTCAGCCTGACTTATTTTTGGATGGTGTCTCCAGAATGTCAAAATAGCTCCCCCTGCACAAGTGGAAGGATTCCTATCCCAGATCTTCAAGCCAATCTGGGCCGTCACTACATTCTTGTAACGCGTGGAGGAGGAAGCAATGAAAAGCACATTTTTTGAAGTGGCGGAGTTCACTGCCTCCAAATCATTTGGTGGTCCCAGAGCCTGTTGCTGTAGAGTAGATTATAATTCTTTAGGTAAATATCGGGACAGGGTGCCTTCTAGCAACATTCTTGGACAGATAAGAGAGAAGCACAGTGCAGGGGAAGAGAATAAGTTAGGGTGTCACTCCAAGCTGGCCTGGTCTGACTTAGAAGTTGGGTCCTCCTTTGTTCTTCCAAACGGGTAATTCGTGATCTCTAACTGCATCTGAAACCACAGCTGGCCAGTTTGGGGCAAGGTTTGTGGACAGAGAGATGTGAGACTTTTGGGTGATCTTGGGCACATCACTTTACCTCTGGAACTTGTTCATCAAGCAAAGATGAGAACTAGGTCCTTTTTAACCCTAAATTTCTAAATCTAGGTCATTCTGAGAAGATTCCTTCAGCTGCCAAGTTTCCATTTAGGATGGTATTTTGGAAATTGGCCACTAGAGGCCACTGTGAATACAGTTTGGCCTGACAGCTTCTTCAAAAGGCAGAAGTCTACCCTGGCCTTCCATGATGCTAAGCCAGGCCTGCCACCCTGGGAGGCAGAAAACCAGCCACTCAGACTGCGGGGCCAGAATTGAGATGTCCGCCCGGCACTGAGCCGACGGAGGAGGTGCTCTCTGTCAGGAGGCCGGCCAGCGCCCCTTCCTGGGTACTGGATGGGGTGGTGGAGAAGCCTCGTTCATGGAGGGGTGGGGCGAGCCCGTGCGACCAGGCCTGATTCTGTAGCATGCCTCATCATAAAGGGACAATTCCCCCCAACTGCTTAATATTCCACTTCACAGTTGAATTCCTTTATTCAACAACTAGAGGCCCAACGCACGAAATTTGTGCAAGAGTAGGCCTTCCTTCCCCTGGCTGCCAGCACTGGCTTCCCTCCGGGACCCGGGCTTCCCTCGCAGCCCTGGCTTCGTCCGTTAGCATATTAGGCTTTTATTATTATAGATAACTCTGGAGCCCCTCTTTTGTGCCCAGCAACAGCCCATGTTTTCATGGAACCAGAGAAAGTCAGCCAGAGGAAACTTTTAAGAAAACAAGTTATTGTTGCCCTTTCTCTGTTCCATGGTTCATAGAACCTTCTTATATATTTTTTTTCTCTTAATCCTCCAAACCACCCTCTGAGGTTGGCAGGTGAGCAAACTGAGGACCAAAAGCAAGTAGCACAGAGCCTTGTACAGAGTGATGAATGGGTGAAATAACGGGCCGGGGCTGCTTAGCTAGTGAAAGGCACCCCAAGTTCAGCCCCTGTGTCTCCGCCTTTGATATACGGAGGGAAATGTGCAGAGGAAAAGTGATCTGGTGGCAGGGCCGGGGTTAGAACCGAATCTCCTGCCTCGCATGCTGGGCTGGCAGACCAACTGCTCTGTCCCAGGCGTCCCCAGGCCAAGCCGCTGGGAGGCCCCAGCCGAGGCTGCTGCAAGGTGCTTTCAAGCAGAGCCCGTACCAGGCCTGCCCTGGCCCCGCAGGACGGAGCGGGGAGGGAGGGAGCACAAATGACCCTAATCAGTGTGTTTATTGGATCATAACTATTAGCCTCACCACTCAGCTAATCGCATAGAAATCACTTTCCTCTCCGGGCGGATCTGGCCGCAGCTCCATTAAAAGCTGCTCGCCCGGTACCTGCGAGGAAGCGCAGGGCAGAGGCGGCGGGGGAGGGAGAAGCAATATTTCTGCTTCCTCATTACGCTGACGGGGAAAATGGCCATTTCACATTCACCGTATAAAAAAGCCCCCAAGGGAAAGGGAATCCGAGGCCCACAATTGTCTTTTGGCAACATTCAGCTCTAAGAGAAAATGATTTTCTTTGTGACTCCCTTTTTGAAAGCATTTGTGATGCTATTAAAGATAAAACAAGAAAAGGAACTGGAGATTGGGGGGGCATACCGGGTGCCAGGCTGTTCCGTGTGTTCCGCTTGGTCCTCTCTGAAGGCTGTGAACAGACAGCACAGGGTCCGTTTCATGAAGGCTCCCGGGGCAGGGCTGAGCTTCGAGCTCGGGGCCTGCTGTCACCCTGTCATTCCCTAAACTCCCACCGGAGTGGTTTCCTTACCTTTCTTTGCCCCCCCCCCCCCAGCCCAGAAAATATGGAAACTGGTTTTCAAGCCAGATCACTGTTTGACCTTCACAACCTTTCCC